CGGAGGTCATTCCTCGTGGCCTGGGCAACCCCCGCCAGCCAGTTGTCATCCTCTCGGGACCCACCTTTGCCGTTGAGATCATCCGCGAGCTGCCCACCGGTGAGTGCTGCTGGGTCGCCTGGAGGGTCAGTGCGATGCCTTTCAGTCAACCCGTCAGTCAGGCAGCCAATCCGTTAGTGAATTTATCAGCCAGTCCGTCAGTCAGTTACGTGAGTCAAACATGTTGGTGAGCAAGGGTCTTTTAGCTGGGCACGATGAATGGAGTTGATGACGCAGGTGGTGATCACCACGCGGGCTGGGCAACCCCCGCCAGCCCATGGTGATTGTCTCTCCGTACCCACCTTCCATCAGCACTGGTAGCGGCCAGCAAGGACCTGCCTCTGGCCACGAGGGCGCAGAAGCTGCTGGCGTGCCTCTAGGTGCCCCAAGCCTCTCCCCCCTCTCTCCCCCCTCCCATCTCTTCAGCTCTTCCTTCCCCGTCTCCATCTCTCTCCCCTCGCTCTCCCGTCACCAGCGCTGGTGCCGGCCAGCAAGGACCTGGCGCTGGCCAAGAGGGCACAGAAGCTGCTAACGAGTTCGGCTTGTAACTCTCTTCCTGTCCCCACCCCTTTCCCCCCCTCTTCCTTCTCCCTCTTCAGCGCTGGTGGCGGCCAGCAAGGACCTGCCTCTGGCCAAGAGGGCACAGAAGCTGCTGGCATGTTCAGCTGGTAACGATCCCCCCCCCGTTGCCACCCCTTTTTTCCCCCTCCTGCCCTCCCTCTCTCCCCCGTCATCAGCGCTGGTGGCGGCCAGCAAGGACCTGGCGCTGGCCAAGAGGGCGCAGAAGCTGCTGGCGTCGAAAACCCTGCGAGTCAACACCACCACGTACGTGTGCATGTGAATCCATGTATATTCCTTCGTAAATGTTCTCTATTGTGCATGACTATCGATGTATGTGTGCATGCGTATCGATGTATGTGGGCATGCCTATCGATGTATGTGGGCATGCCTATCGATGTATGTGGGCATGCCTATCGATGTATGTGGGCATGCCTATCGATGTATGTGGGCATGCCTATCGATGTATGTGGGCATGCCTATCGATGTATGTGGGCATGCCTATCGATGTATGTGGGCATGCGTATCGATGTATGTGTGCATGCATATCGACGTATGTGTGCATGCGTACCCACGTAATCATGTGTGTTCGTTATGTTATGTGCATACGCTCAAGTGCTCATCATCACATCTCAAGTCCTCTGTTCTATCCCCATCCCTGTCCCTATCCCTATCCCTGTTCCTGTCCTCCTCTCCCACCGATCCTTCCTACCTCCCTCACAACGCACAGTGACGTGGTGGGCGTGAAGATGGGGAAACCACCCTAGAGTTGACCAAGGACAGATGACCCACCTGTTCCGCTCTCCTTTTTATCCCTCTTTACTGTTGCTATCCCTCTCTCCCACTTCATCTCTTTCTCTCTTAACAACTCACAGTGACGTGGTGGGAGTGGAGATGGCAGGCGCGCTAAAGAACGTGCTGGCGATAGCAGCGGGGATCGTGGAGGGCATGCAGCTGGGGAAACCACCCTAGAGTTGACCAAGGACAGATGACCCACCTGTTCCGCTCTCCTTTTTATCCCTCTTTACTGTTGCTATCCCTCTCTCCCACTTCATCTCTTTCTCTCTTAACAACTCACAGTGACGTGGTGGGAGTGGAGATGGCAGGCGCGCTAAAGAACGTGCTGGCGATAGCAGCGGGGATCGTGGAGGGCATGCAGCTGGGGAACAACTGCATGGCTGCCCTCGTCGCTCAGGGCTGCTCCGAGATTCGATGGCTTGCAGAGAAGGTGCTTGAGGGATGCATCGATGCATAAAGAGGCGCATGGATGCATGGGTGTATGGCGTGGCGCATGGATGCATGGACGTATGGTGTGGCGCATGGATGCATGGATGTATGGGGGGTTGGATAGGTGCATGGAGGGTTGGATGGGTGGATGGAGGATTAGGCGGATGAATTAAGGGATGGAGGGGATAGTGGAGGGCATGCAGCTGGGCAACAACTGCATGGCTGCTCTCGTGGCTCAGGGCTGCTCCGAGATCCGGTGGCTTGCAGAGAAGGTGAGTGAGGCGTGATGGAAGAGTTGGTGGATGGATGCATGAAAACATGGCTTGGAAGCTGCCAGAGGCGGTCAGTCCCTCGCGCGCCTTCCTCCTTTCACCCCGACTTACCCACAGATGGGCGCTAAGCCCACCACGCTCGCGGGCCTGAGCGGCACCGGAGACATCACGCTGACGTGCTTTGTGTCCCTCTCCCGCAACTGCACGGTGGGCGTGCGCCTGGGGTCGGGCGAGAGGCTAGAGGACGTACTTTCCTCCATGACCCAGGTCGCGGAGAGGCCAGTTGAAGAGGGCTTTCCATGGTGCCACAGGCGCTGCCTCGGCCTCTTCCTCTTTTCATCCCTTCGCATCTCTCCCTCCCCACTCACCTCCCCACCCCCTTGCAAAAACTACGCAGATGGGCGCCAAACCCACCACTCTGGCCGGGCTGAGCGGCACGGGCGACATCATGCTGACGTGCTTTGTGTCCCTCTCCCGCAACCGCACGGTGGGCGTGCGCCTGGGGTCGGGCGAGAAGCTCGAAGACATCCTCTCCTCCATGACCCAGGTGGCTGAGGGCGTCGCCACGTCCGGCGCTGTGATCTCGCTCGCCCGCAAGTACCGCGTGCAGATGCCCGTGCTCACGGCTGTTGCGCGGATCCTGGAGGGCAAGCTGGAACCGAAAGAAGCAGTCATGGAACTCATGAGCCTGCCGCAGGTGAGGCCTTAATGGTTTTGCTGGACGACTGCTGGATGGTTGATGGGTGGTGGCCTCCCGAGGGCGTCGCCACATCAGGAGCCGTCATCTCGCTCGCCCTCAAGTATCGCGTGCAGATGCCTGTGCTCACTGCTGCTGTGCGGATCCTGGAGGACAAGCTGGAGCCCAAGGAGGCTGTCATGGTGCTCATGAGCCTGCCGCAGGTGAGACATATGGGCTGGCTGGATGATGGTGGGGTGATCGCCGTCATCTCGCTCGGGTGTTATGGAACTCATGAGCCTTCCACAGGTGAGGCTGCTGTGCTGCCTGGGTGATCCCTGTGGTTGCTGGTTGGTTGCGGGAGATTGCCGTCATCTCCCTCGCCCGCAAGTACCGCGTGCAGATGCCTGTGCTGACTGGCGTGGCGCCCATTCTGTAGGGCAAGCTGGAGCCCCAAGGAGGCTGTCATGGAGCTCATGAGTCTGCCGCAGGTGAGGCGCATGCGTTTGCTGTATGATTGCTGGTCACTGATTACCCTCACCCGCAAGCACCTCTAGTTGACTGCTGTTGCTCGGATTCTGGAGGGCAAGCTGTAGCCCAAGGAGGCTGTCATGGGGCTCATAAGCCTGCCGCAGGTGAGGCCGGTGTGCTGGCTGTTGAATGCCTGGTCTGATTTGCAGATGGAGTGTTTTGAGGCATGGGAGAAGCGGGCACTGCCCTGGATTCCATGTAAGTTGATGCTGCCCTGGATTCCATGTAAGTTGATGCTGCCCTGGATTCCATGTAAGTTGATGCTGCCCTGGATTCCATGTAAGTTGATGCTGCCCTGGATTCCATGTAAGTTGATGCTGCCCTGGATTCCATGTAAGTTGATGCTGCCCTGGATTGCATGTAAGTGGAAACTGCCCTGAAAGTGTAAGAGGGGAGATTGCGCCAAGGCCAAATGATGCTTGCATTCCTTGCTGGCACCGTATTATCACATGGCTTGTATTACATTGTGCTGTGATGTTGCTCCTATGGGTGATTGATTCTTTCTTATGCGCTGTTGGGATGCTGGCTTTGGCTTCCCTAGCACGAGCCCAGCGGGGCTGAATCGAGTCCTGCATATAACAGGTAGCTGCTGTGCCACCATTATTTTGATTATTTGACTCGTTTGTCGTGCCGCAGGTTGAAGAAAAGTGAAGCATTGTTGTCCAGTCAAGAAGCTTGGAGGGTGTTGACACAAGTAGGCATTCAAGTGTGTTACTAGTGAGCGTGAATGTGTGCCTATGTTTGGGAGGACATCGAAATGCATGCTGCATCTGCAGGTCAATTATGCTTCAAGATTGGTGAGAAAGGATTACATACCGTGTGTGTATTTTACAGCTTTACTTACTAGTGTCGTATACGTGAACTGCATGTGCCAGAGGATGAAGATAAGTATCTTTTTGGATAATATGAGTGACCAGATAGAAGCTGGCGTTTTCTGTAAGCAACACGTGCTGTAGAGAGACTACAGTTATGCAGAAAAAATGATGATTTTTCATGCCGTCCTTGGGGACCAGGAAAAGAGGCAGTGTTACAGTTGTCAGTTGTGGAAGAAAGTGGCTGTTCGACGAACATTTTTTTATTAGAATCCTTCGGTTTTGGGATGTGATTTACACATGACGCCCGACCAGTGCACGCGAAATTGCCATGCACCGGATGGAAACGCTGCCCCCGAGCTGGAAACCCCTGCTTGCTACTCCCACAGTACGAGCACATGGGTGGCTGGCAACAGTACACGCAACTCGGCCATCAATGCACGTGCAGTCCCGAACAAGCCATGCCGACCCAAATTTGCCTTGTTTCTAGGCCAGGAGTCAGAGAGGCGAAATGAATGGACGAAACGAATATGGTTTCGTGAACGCATTCGCCCATCTAACCTGCCACCCGAGCAAGGATCATCGTGCGTGTAACAGGCATTTGGTCAGATTCACGCTGCCACGTGTAATTCGGCACTTGCACGGTACAAGCGCATTATCAGCCAGGCGTTGTTCGCCCACCCCACGTCAGACATTCGATCGTTTGGTTACCAAACCACACGATAAAAAATGCAAGCCAAGTGCATGGAACGAACACCAATCACACAAATGTGACAAGCCACAAAGAACAGGCCCCAGTATTGCCCAGCACGCCCGACATGTGACGATAAAATGCGAACAACTAATTCACTAAGTCGGCATTCTCTCACACCCCAGCCGCTAACAATGCCCCGCTTTAATCGACGGGAGCAGCTCCCGCTCCATATCAAGCGCGCTATTTGCGCGCACCACGTCGACAACCCCCGCCTGCGTCATGTTGACCTGGCGATGTGGTGTTACTCGCAGTACAGATTGCGCCCGGATCGCTCCACTGTCGGCCGCATATTGAAGAGCGCCGAGCGATGGGCTGTCACGGCACCCGGCGACAACCAAGTGCGCCGTCGAGGTGGCGCATGGCCTGAGCTGGAGCAGGCCATGGCGCGGTGGATCGCAAACGCAGGGCCCGCTGGCGTGCCTCTGACGCTGCAGACCATCCGCGACCATGTCGCAACGATGGCACGGAACATGGGCATTCCGCCCACATTCCGCTGCTCCATCGGCTGGGTGCGCCGTGCTTTGCGGCGCTAGGGAGTGAGGTGCCGTGCAGCACAAGGCGAGGCGGCTAGCGCGGACATGGCCGCCGTGCGCGACGCACGTGAGAAGCTGCCGCAACTCCTCACGCATCTCGGTGTCTCCCCGCGGGACACTTTCAACCTCGATGAGACGGCGCACTGGCTGTCCGTGCTCCCTCGGCGCACGTACACCAACGGCCGCATTCCCGGCCGCAAAGTATCGAAGGAATGGCTCACCGTCGCATTCCTCGTCAATGCTGACGGGAGCCACGCATTCCGACCGCTCGTGATCAGTAAGGCGAAGCGGCCGCATGACTTCCGCCCGGATTATGACCCTGAATCCCTTTGCTACTGGCGGCACAACGCGAAAGGCTGGATGACCTCGCCGGTAAGCTCGTAATGTTTGATTGTTTCGTGCGTTCTTGATGCTTCGCACAAATTACTCACAATATCACACATGTCTGGAATGTGCTTGTGCTTACAATGTTCCCATGTACATTCCGCCTTCCCCTCCATTCCCCTCCCTACAGTTATTCACACATTTCATATCACAACTCGATGGTGCGATGTACGTCGAAGGTCGCAAGATCGTGGTGCTGCTCAACAACGCGAGCAACCACATGCTCCGCTTAGAGCTCGCATGGAGCGAGATCGTCTGCGGCATGCGGACGACCTGCATGAGCAACGTGCGGCTGGTCTTCCTGCCGCCGAATACCACCGCATTCACACAGCCGCTCGATCAAGGCATCATCGCCACCGCAAAGGCCCGCTACCGACAGCATTGGCTGCGGGCCTTCTTGGCTTTGTGGAACGCCGACGGTGCGACTTCCGCCGTCGCGCGTTTCCGCACGAACTTGCGCGATGTCCTCGCGTGGCTGTCGGAAGCGTGGACCTCCGTCGGCGCGCGCACCATTCAACGGTGCTGGTGGGGCACGGGGTGTCTGCCGCTCTCATGGTCCGTGGAGATGACGCATGTACACGACGACGAACCCACCCCCGCTCTCTACCCCGACATCGAGCTCGACGAGGACATCGACGATGTCAGGACGCTCATTAGCGGGCTCGCACTCGGGAATGCGGCGATGACGGCCGCAGAGTACGTCGCCATCGACAACGACGAGCCAACGTCGGCCGAGGGCGCTGCGGAACAGCCTACGACTAAGCCGGAGGCGGGCCTGGAGGTGGAGCTCTGGCAGGCGCCGACGACCATGCAAGCCGTCCACGACGACGCCGACCCCGTGGGACGCGAAGCGCGGCGCACTGCCCGGGCGGCATGCGAGATGCTCATCGGATATGCACGGGCCACCCGCATCACGCCGTGCGATCTGTGCCATCTGTTCGATATCCGCAACCCCATCATAATCGCGCGGATGGAGCGAGCGAACCCGTCGTTCAACCTCAACGTGGCGCCTCAGCCCGTACCCTCCCCGAGCGCAACTCCCACGCCCGAGACCCCTCGTCCGCGCGGCCGTGCGCTGCCCGGCTGGATGACCCGTCTGTCTCGCCGTCGGCAGCTGCTTGACGCCGGTGTGGGCGCCGTGATGGACGGGTATTGTCAGAATATTATAGCTTACTTATTTGTGTAGGCTATAGTGGGGTATCCCATAGGGGGTACAACCCAACTAGGGTTTCCTATTTGTACTCACTTCGTTCATAGTTCACTCATTCTCTCGTTCACTTCTTCTCATGGTATCGAGCAGGTTCCCCTGTGGGAACTTTGCTTAGGGCCCACCACTTCGGAAAACTTTTTTTCTGCCCTAGCCCCCTAGCGCCCTAGCGCCCACCCTTGCGCCTGCCCTAGCGCCCGCCCTAGCGCCCGCCCTAGCGCCCGCCCTAGCGCCAGCCCTAGCGCCCTAGCGCCCGGCGCCTGCCCTAGCGCCCGTGAGCCGCCCGCGGCCTGCCCGTGAGCCGCCGCCCACGGCCTGCCCTAGCGCCCGTGAGCCGCCCGCGGCCTACCCGTGAGCCGCCCGCGGCCTGCCCGTGAGCCGCCGCCCGTGAGCGCCGCCCGTCAGCCGCCGCCCGTAAGCAGCCGCCCGTCAGACGCCGCCCGTGCGCCGCCGCCCGTGAGCCGCCGCCCGTGAGTGCCGCCCGTCAGCCGCCGCCCGTAAGCAGCCGCCCGATGGTGGAGCTCGATGACTCGGTGGTGGATTTGGTGGAGCTCGATGACTCGGGACCGAAGGCGTGGAAGCTGCTACGCGACGTGGTTCAACCCAACACGCTGCCAATGGTGATCGTATTGGAGAAGGAGTTGGCTGCCCTCTCCATGCGGCCGGGAGATGATGTGAAGCCGGTCCTTGACAAGATCAAGGACACCTATGCGAGGATGGCAGCGGCGGGCAGCGAAGTGTCGCAGATGCAACAATGCACCAAGATCATCTCGGTGCTCGACAACTCGTGGGACAACCTCATCCCCACCCTCAACGTTCAGCAGGACAAATGGACGCCTGAGTGGCTACGGCAGCAGATCCTGCAGGAGGACTTCCGCAGGCGCCACACTGGAGGTGGTGCTGCCAACAAAACTGCTGAGGGGTATGGAGCTGGAGGAGGCAGCAGAGGGAGAGGGGGAGGGAGAGGCCGAGGCCGTGGGAGAGGCTTTGGCAGAGGGAGAGGCCGAGGTGACTACAATGAGGGGCATAGGAGCTCTGGTGGCAGGGGGAGTACGCGAATGGAGGGTGCGTGCTGGTACTGCAAGAAGGCTGGACACCCATGGTTTAAGTGTTTCAGCCGGCCTGAAGGATGGGCGCCTCCAGGCATGAAGCCGCCAAGTGGTGAACGTGCACGAGGTGGTGCTGTGCAAGGTTCAGGTGCACAAGGTGATGGTGCACAAGGTAAAGCCGACCCTGGTATGTTCCTCATGGTTGAGGACGTGCAAGGGAGTGGGGGTGATGTGGGTTCAGTTGGGAAGGTTGTGATGCACCCCCTCACTCACTGGGTGATCGATTCAGGTTGCACGAGTCACATGACTCCACGGGCAGATTTGCTTGATGAGGTGAAGCCCCCTGGGAAGATAAAGTTTGTGGCTGCCGCTTCAGGTGCCTTGCTCCCTGTGATTGGTGCTGGGAATGCCAAGGTTATGGGAGCTAATGGGGGGCTTGTGGGGCTGGGAAATGTGCTGTTGGTTGAAGGTTTATCCGTTAACCTCCTCTCTGTGCGCCGGCTGCAGAAAAGCAAGGCCAAAGTTACGTTCGGCCCAACCAGCTGCCGTGCAAAGCTTGGGAAGTTGCTGCTGTGGGATTTGGAGGAGAAGAGCAGCTGCATCAAGGACCTGTGGCAGCTGCCTATCATCCCTTGGAATGGGAAACCTCCAGCAACGGCAAAGGCAGCGGCAGCGGCTAAAGCAACTGCGGGAGGAGAGGAGACTGCACCAACTGATGGGGCCCTGGATGCAATCAAGAAGGTGCAGCAGCCACATCAGCCACATGGTGAGGTGCTTGCTGGTGTGGATGCGACAGCTGCATGGGCAAAGGCTTCATCTGGGAGTGGTGAGGCTGATTGGGAGACGTGGCATGAGAGGCTGTGCCATGTGAACATTCCTATGCTGCAGAAGTTGGTAAAGGATGGGTGCTTGAAGGGGCTGGAGGTGAAGGGGGGAGCAAAGGAGGTTGGGAGCTGCCCTACCTGCCTTGAGACCAAATTCACGAAGTTTCCCTTCAGCAGCAGCACAGGACCAGCAAAGGCACCACTTGCACTAGTGCACATGGATGTGGTGGGCCCCACGAGGGCCCTTTCTCTTTCGGGCAGCCGCTACTTCTTGACAATTGTGGACGACCACACGCGTGCGGTGTGGGTGTACCCTCTCAAGACTAAGGGGGAGGTGGCAGTGGTTGTTCTTAAGGAGTGGATGCCGAGAGCACAAAGGGAGAGCGGACACAAGGTGAAGGTGATCCGCACTGACAATGGAGGAGAGTTCATCGGCGCTGATTTTGAGAAGGAGCTGAAGCGGAAGGGGATCCAGCATCAGCTCACAGTGCCTTACAACCCTCAGCAGAATGGCGTGGCTGAGCGGTTCAACCGGACCCTGCAGGAAGGTGCTCGCACTCTCCTTGGGCGTGCAGGGCTGCCGGATCCGTTTTGGGTGACAGCACTGCGGCAGGTCGTTGTTGTGAAGAACCGGGTGCTGGCGACTGTGGGGGACAAGCAATGGGTCCCCTACACCAAGTGGTATGGGAGTGTGCCTGCAGTCAACATGCTGAGAACTTATGGCTGCATGGTGGAGTTTCATGTGCCTAAGGAGAAAAGGGGAAAACTGGAAGCTTCTGGGAGATGGGGTGTGCACTTGGGGCTTGCTAAGGATCACAAGGGCTGGCTGATTTGGGACTTGACCAGCCAGCAGCTGACTGTGTCAAGGGATGTGAAGTTCGTTGAGTCCTTGGAAGCAGCAGCAGCAGAAGCTTCCTACGACACTGCTAATCGTCGAGGCCGATGAGGTGCAGCCGCCTTCGAGGCAGGTGGAGGTTTCTGTCTCCAAGGAGGAGATCTCTGGGGTGACTGATGATGGGGGAGAACCTGAGGTGGAGCAGCAGCAGCAGCAGCAGGAGGAGGAGCAAGGTGCTCCACAAGGTGCCGGACGTACGGCTGACCGTCCTAGGAGGGATGTGCGCCCTCCTAACAGGCTGACCTATGCAAGCCGTGGCAAGCCAAAGGTGGTGAGGGCTGGGAGTGTGGCTGAGCAGTGTGATGAGGATGAGATAGCACACTGCTACTGGGCAGCCGTCCCTGAGCCCAAGACGCTAGCCGAGGCATTGAGCGGGCCCGATGCTGAAAAGTGGAAGCAGAGTGTGAAGGAGGAGTATGATTCTCTGCTAGAGAATGAGACGTGGGAGCTGTGTGAGCTTCCACCGGGGAAGAAGGCCATTTCTTCCAAGCTGATTTTCATGCACAAGTACGGACCTGATGGGGCGCTGACCCGCTACAAGTCAAGGCTTGTGGCTAAGGGGTTTCAGCAGACAAAGGGAAAGGACTTCAACGAGCTCTATGCTCCTGTGGGGAAAGGCACAACACTTCGGGTGTCATTGGCAACGGCAGCAAACCGTGGATGGCGGGTGAAGCAGATGGACATCACCACCGCCTTCCTCAATGGGATCATTCTGGAGGAGCTGTACATGTTACAGCCTGAGGGTTTGGATGATGGGAGCGGCAGGGTGTGCTGGCTGAAGAAGGCCATCTATGGCCTGAAGCAGGCTCCTCGTGCATGGTACCACAAGTTAGAGGAGACTCTGCTGGCTAGGGGTTTCAAGAAGAGTGAGTGTGATCACAGCTTGTTCCTGCTGCAGGAGAAGGAGCAGTTTCTCATGCTCCTGGTGTATGTGGACAACATCCTGCTCTTCTCTGAGTCGTCTGCAATGATTGAGCATGTGGAGGAGATGCTGGAGATGCAGTTTAAGTGCTCCAAGATGGGAGATGTGAAGTACTATTTAGGGATGCATGTGGAGAGGGACCTTGACAAGGGAGTGTTGAGGTTGCACCAGAGAAGTATTGTGAGGGGCTGGCTGAGAAGTATGGGCTGCAAGATGGAGGAAAGCCAGCCACCCCACTGCCTTCGAGGTTCACTGTGGAGCCCTGTGCTGATGAGGAGGTGGTGGGTGAGAGTGATAGGAAACTTTTCATTCCATGGTTGGGGCACTCAACTATGCGGCTAACCACACACGGCCTGACATTGCCTTTGCAACATCTAGGCTTGCCAGTGTGGTTTCACGCCCCAGTCATGAGCAGCTGGAAGCGGCCAAGAGGTTGGTCCGCTATGTGAGTGCAACGGCATAAGTGGGTTTGGAGTACAGTGCTGTGAGGTAGAGGCTGCAGAGAGGTGCAGCTGATTTGAGCAAAGGGGAGATGCTACTGACCTGCTACACTGACGCTAGCTTCAACTCGGTGAAAGCGGATGGCACCAACATTGGAGGCTATGTGTGCCTGTTCGGAGGTGGTGTAGTGAGCTGGCGCAGTAAGAAGCAGAATGAAGTGGGGCAGTCCTCGTGTGAGAAAGAGTACATGGCCCTGCATCATGGGGCAAAGGAGGTGGTGTGGCTGAGGCGTTTGTTGGAGGAGATTGGAGTTGGTCAGAGGGAGCCGACTGTGATTTTCTGTGACAATGAGTCGGCGCTGAAGCTAGCGAAGAATGCTTGTCTTCATGGGCTGACCAAACACATCAGGCCTAAGTGGCACTGGGTGAGAAGGCTCCTGGATAAGGAGGTGCGGCTAGAGATTGTGAAGACCCATCAGCAGGCGGCTGGCATTCTCACCAAGCGCCTGGCTGAATCTGAGCATTGGAAGGGCATGAAGCTTGCTGGGATGAGTATGCATTGAGGATGCATGCTTGAGCTATGACATGTGGGATGAGGGTTGGCAGCCAGAGGGGGAGTTTGTTGAGTGATGCTACCATTCGCATTCACGTCTGTCTACCTCCCATCATATGTTCGTGCGTTGCATGCGTGTTGTGAGTGTGTGCAAGAATTTGTGTTTTGTGCGGTTTGGTTTTTCTGAGTGTGTGTGTGTGAATGTTATTTGGCTTGAGCAGATATATGAAGTGACTCCTCTGCTCAAGAGCTTTCCGAGGAACCAAGTATCGCTTCAATCGGAGCACGAACAAGAA